ACACACACACATATATATATATATATATATATATATATATATATATCAATAAAGAAATTCCCTAATTGCAAATGATACTATAATACCCTCTCACACCCATGTGAGTAGGACCCTTGTATATATATCAATAAAGAAATTCTCTAATTGCAAATGATACTATGATACCCTCCCACACCCATGTAAGTAGGACCCATGGAATCCCAAGGGATCACCATTAAATTTTGATACAGATCAGTAGAAAACCCATTCACCCAAGTCCCACACCCATGTTATAACTTTTCTAGAGATCTGTGTCAAAATTTAATGGTGATCTTTTGAGGTCCTACTCACATGGGTGTGGGAGGGTCTCATAGTGTCATTTCTCTTTACATATTTGAAAAAATCCTAAAGTCTCAAGATAGAACAGAAACCGTCCAATTTTTAGGGTGTGAGATCTAAGAGCTAAAAAAATTAAATTTTAATTTTAGTTTTTTTTTAGAATAATCATCTTGTAATTCTAAGTTGGCTATTAAAACAACAAATTTAAAAAATCCTCTCAAATAGATAATCTAATTGAGGCTTTAGAATTAAATTCTCTTATCTTAATAAAAAATGTTTTATGAGTGGGGGCCGCATGCAGGTCAACACTCTCACTCACGCATTCACACTCACACTCACATTCACACTTACACTCACACTCACATTACATGCTCTTTTTCTCTACCACACACTCCTATCTCCACTCTCTTACGCACCCCTTTTACACACTTCCCCCCCCGCACTTCACCCATGCGTACCTACACTGTCCTGAACACGCATCCATCACCCCTCTAACCCAATAGTTTAGACCCCAAATTTACCATATTACTAATAGGAGGAGACCCCAAAAAGTATACCCCTGAAGGTCACTTTTAGTGTGTGGATCCAAGTACTGCGTAGGGAAGGGGGGAGCCAAACTCAAACCGAGTTGCAAGGACAGCCAGAGGGCTTTCGAAATAATCTAAGAGGGTGAATCGTCCGGACGCATACCCCCCCAAAACAACAAGGTATACGCTCGAACCCTTCTTTGTCGATTAAAATTTCCCTCTTTGTTGGTTCTTATCTGCACTACAAGCACACGTGCGAGAGATAAATCATGTGCACCATCGAGGTATGGATTGCATCAAGTCAGGATGACCTTGGTTTTGTCTCCGGGGAGACCTCAAATCCATATACTAGGATTACGACCCTTTACCTATTGGCAGGACTTTAGTGATCTACTAATGATCCCTTCCATAGACTGTGGGTCATAGGTAATGCTGGGTCAGTTTGAGAAAGCATGTGTGGTTTGTATTTCGCAGTTGGACATGGAGTGCCCCAGGGGATATTTATTCATAGACCATATGGATCATTTTCTCATCAAGGCTTTAATTTTGTTATTTTAATTATATTTTATTTTTAAAATTTTTATTTAATTTTTTCTAAATCTCTGAATATTTTATTTTTCAAATTTGGATTTATACAAACAGATATTGATTTTATAATGATTTAAATATTCAAAAAATAATTTTGTATATTTTTAAAACATAAAAATAAATTAAATTACATAGGAGGCCTAATAGGTCTTTTGGGCCCACCATTGCATATTGGGTGGGGCCCATTAAGTAACACCATCGGTGGCACGCCCACCTATAACACCTTCTAATTTTGTGATCAAACTTACAGGTTTGAGAGATAAGAAAGTATTGATTTTAAAAAGTTTAAAGCCTGAAGGAAATTTTGAATGTATGAAAGTATGCATAAAATAAGAAAGGATCATATTATGATATATTAATTTTTTATTTGAATTAATTGATGGAAAAAGGGTTTAGGAAGTGGAGGATAATTGTCTAGCACTTTCCATAGGATGTTGATGGTCCATTTATAGAATGGAGAGCTCAAATCTCTCACCCCACAAGTCACCCAATTTCAATGGTGCATATTCAGTTTCACATGAGTGGCAAACCAAAGAAAACCCTAAAAAACCCCAATCTTGTTCAAACAGTATAAAAAGGAGAATACCCTACCCAAAATCTCCACACATTATCTCTTATATATACTTTCCATGTCTCTCTCTCATAGCCTACCAAAAGGGGCACACCCCACTTAGAATATCTCTCTCTCTCCAATAGAATCTCTCTCCTATCTTGAAAGCCCTAAGCGGGGGCATGGCCCACTATCTCATCCATGGTTTCTCTCTGGTTAGGCTAGATTTCTCGTTGTCCCAGGTCGGCCCTAATGGGGGGACCCGATCGGAGGAATCCTCTCTCAAACAACCGTTGGCCCGCGCACGTGTGCTTGTAGTACAGATAAGAACCAACAAAGAGAGAAATTTTAATCGACAAAGAAGTGCTCGAGCGTATACCTTGTTGTTTTGGGGGGGAGTCCGGGTGATTCACCCTCTTAGATTATTTCGAAAGCCGTCTGGCTGTCCTTGCAATGTGGTTTGAGTTTGGCTCCCCCGCTTCCCTACGCAGCACTTGGATCCACACACTAAAAATGGCCATCAGGGTATACTTTTTGGGGTCTCCTTCTATTGGTAATATGGTAAATTTGGGGTCTAAACTATTGGGTTAGAGGGGTGATGGATGCGTGTTCAGGACAGTGTAGGTATGAATGGGTGAAGTACCGGGGGGGGAAGTGTGTGAAAGGGGTACGTAAGAGAGTGGAGATAGGAGTGTGTGGTAGAGAAAAAGAACATGTAACGTGAGTGTGAGTGAGTGTGAGTGCGTGAGTGAGAGTGTTGACCCGCATGCGACCCCTACTCATAAAACCTTTTTTATTAAGATAAGAGCATTAAAGTCTAAAACCTCAATTAGATTATCTATTTGAGAGGATTTTTTTAATTTGTTGTTTTAGTAGCCACCTTAGAATTACAAGGTGATTATTCTAAAAAAACATTAAAATTAAAATTTAAGTTTTTTAGCTCTTAGATCTCACACCCTAAAAATTGGACTGTTTCTGTTCAATCTTGAGACTTTAGGTTTTTTTCAAATATGTAAAGAGAAATGAAACTATGAGACCCTCCCACACCCATGTGAGTAGGACCTCAAAGGATCACCATTAAATT